AATGTCCCTCCCCCCCCCCACGAACCCTTCCCTTCCCATCAATGGTGAATGGCAACCAGATGGCAGGGCGGCTGGGTTAGTGTCAATTTTTTTTACCTATAACCCTGCCGCTCTGCTCACTGCAGTCAGAGACTCGGCTGCAGAGGACGGAACCAAAGAAGAGAGGTAAGCCCAGGGGGGAGGGGAGGAGGCTGCACACTGTTTATATGTGAAATCGGCGACATCGCCGATTCCACATGTAAACGAAAAATCGTCTGCCTCACTCTACATTTAGTCCTGCTTGTGCAAAGCAGGACTGAATGTAGAGAGGGCAACTTCCCCACAAGGACACCGCTGCCTGCCCCTCTGCGCCCTGCCACCCCGAGGCCGGGCCTCGGTGGCCTTGTGGGGAATCCGGGCCTGGCTAGAGTGCCAACGCTGTTTCTGGTATGAGGGGCCTCTAATGCACATTGTGAGAAGCAATTTCAGTCCAGGATAGGCGCTATACCACTGTGCAAGACTGAAGAGAAGGCCGGAGTTCTAGTTTAAAGTTTGGACTAAAGGTCAGGAGAGCTGAGAAAGGTCAAATTGTAAAATAAAAAGGGATAAGTTCTGATTGGATCGAGCATGTGAGGAGAGAGTGGAGAGGCCAGTAGATGTTACCAGGACCCCTCACACAGCCATTGACAAAGCCGATTTAATCATTGTGCTGGTAGCAATGTGCAAACATAACACAGGAGGTTGTTCAAACTGGACCAACCAGACCGACCAGCAATCAGGTCATTGTCAGTTGGATTAATTTACTTCTCGGATATTAGTAACGTGGTACTGGGAATGGGAAAAGGGAAGGTAGGTGTTCTGTTACAGAGCGCTCAGACTTGGAATTGCTTTGTGTCCCAGATCTATAACTTGTAGGCTGCCTATTGTTCCATCATGGAAGTAATCAATCAAATCAAAACCTTCACATAGAGTGGACGCCTGCAATCAATGCAACATAACAGCATAAGGAAACCAGCCAATTAACTTGGCTTGAGTGATTAGAATACCTGTTGGGTTGGGTGACCCCGTTATGGAGAGTCACCGCCTTCTCTATATGCAATGGTGACCGTTATCACTAAAAGTGAAAGAAAATCACAAAGTTTGGGTTGACGCCAGAACAGGAACAGGTGGGAAATTTTCCAATAGGGACACTAGTTCTGGTACCCACTAGGGATGTCCTTCACTTCAGAGGGAATTCTTCTCACTTCCTGTCGTGGTTATGGTGCATGAAGTGAAAGGGAAATTTCCCATAACGTCTTCCAGGACAGCATCACGAGATGGAATCTCCTCCCCCACACACAGGAAACACGTCACTTAATCTGCTTAAAAGACCCTCCTCTCCTCCACTCCCTCAGTCTTTTGTGTTTCCTCAGTCAAGCTGGGGAGCGCGTCACAGAACGCTGAGAGAGGGCTTCCATGTGGTGATGCTGCCCGGGAAGTCTTCCTTGTTGGCCTGCCTGTGTAAGGCAGAGGGGTAGGTTTGCCTACCTTGTGGAGCCCCAGGGATTCTCCTAGCGCTGCAGGAGATGAGGCTGGCTTCCTTTCCCCCTTCAGTGCCCAGTGCGGGCCGGTACCGGGAGGGCGAAACCCCCTTGGCTGGTCAGGGGAAGCGGTGGACCGCCGTTCAGAGGGGTCTGTCCATATTAGGACACAAATGGTGAAAAATAGCTGACAGGGGTTACAACCCTCCCTTACTCTATCCAAAACAAAAGAAAAAGTGTTTTTCTTCTGTTCTACTGTAAGGACATGGCATTTGTTGCGGCATCAGCAGGTATTTTCTGGACTTGCTGAACATGTGCTTAACCTAAAACCAGAAAACGAATGCAGCTGACACATTTAGGGCTGGGTCAGCTGCATTATTTGACATTTCAGTTCTTGGGTTAGATACACATGAACAGGGGCGTAACTAGAAATCACAGGGCCCCATAGCAACATTTTGTATGGGGCCCTGTGATTGCTAGTTATGCCACTTGCAGAGCCCACCTGATATACCAAACAGCCCACCTGAGAGTGACCCTGCAGAGCCCACCATAGACTCTCTCTAGAGGGCTGCACACCTCTTACCTGTCAGCGCTGGCCGCCTCCGTGGTCGCCGGGCCCCGCCTCCTCTTCTGTCCCCGGGCCCCACCTCCTCTTCTATCGACAGGCCCTGCCTGCTCTTAGGTCGCTGGCCAGAGATGTAAGAGGAGGCGGGGTTGCTCTTAGGCGGGCCCCGCCTCCTCCTTCACTGCGAACGCCGGCCTCTTCTGCCGCAGCTGCTGGCTGTCACTGACACAGCTCCGCAGCGGCTGTGAGGGGACACGCGCCGCGGCCGCTGCACACATCACTGAAAGGTCAGTGATCTTCACAGCCGCTGCTGAGCTGTGTCAGTGACAGCCAGCACCCTTACATGCCATAGCAACCCAGGCGGCCCACACGGCATCAGAGGGATGCCCTGGCCAAGCCCCCCTGTGCCCAGGCCCCATAGCGGCCACCTGGGTCACTATGGCGATTGTTACGCCACTGTTATCATGCATGTCAAGCACTTTGATGAAAGTGATTCTTCTGCTATCTTCTGCTACTCTTGATTCTGCAAAAAAATTCCTCCTGTGTTCTCTGCCTAATATTGTACACAGCTATACTGCAAAAGACCCCCCCTCATCTTAGGCCGGAGCTGTGTCAGTGACAGCCAGCACCCTTACATGCCATAGCGACCCAGGCGGCCCACAAAGCATCAGAGGGATGCCCTGGCCTGGCCCCCCTGCGCCCGGGCCCCATAGCGGCCGCCTGGGTCGCTATGGTGATTGTTACGCGACATGAACAATGGTCAGGGCAGATTCTCCAGCATGTATTTCGGATTGATTGCCCTGCACATTATACTGTATGGGGTATATAATCAGGTACTTGGGTTGGTTGCATTCCTTGGTAATGTTGCATTGTGTGCGGCAGTCTTATGGTTTATGTCCATGGTCCTCTTTGACAAGAAAAGGTGGTGTCTGGTTTGCTTTGATTGCAGTTCCCACATTAATGGGACCCGCTGTACCCAAAGAGACACTGAGCAAAGCCGGTCAAATGTAGCATCTGGACTGCCATGTGTACTGCTGAGATGAAGTCAATGTGCCGCTCAGATGAAGTCAATGTGCCACTCAGATGAAGTCAATGTGCCGCTCAGATGAAGTCAATGTGCTGCTCAGATGAAGTCAATGTGCTGCTCAGATGAAGTCAATGTGCTGCTCAGATGAAGTCAATGTGCCACTCAGATGAAGTCAATGTGCCGCTCAGATGAAGTCAATGTGCCGCTCAGATGAAGTCAATGTGCCGCTCAGATGAAGTCAATGTGCCGCTCAGTTGAAGTCAATGTGCCGCTCAGATGAAGTCAATGTACTGCGTACTTATACTGCGGGTGCAATGAGTTCTAGAAAATCAGTAATTCAGTTTACAATATACAGGTACTGTTTATACTGAAATCTCGGTGTTCAGTACAGAAACAGTCAGATGTGAATTGTCTCCTCACTGCTACCGGTAAAAGTTTATGAGGCCAGTCACCCCTGTCTTACATTTATGGCATGTGACAGGGGACAATGATCCCGTCCGCTTCCATGAGCGGACTTTTGTAAATCATTCACATATAACAGAGTGACCAACCCATTCTTCTATAAACTCTGCATATTTATCATAGAGAGGCAGCTTCAGACATTACCAGACACCCACCGGGGATAACAGCAAGTGGGATTGACACCAACATTTGAATGTTGCCAGGTTACCTGTGTCTGAATGTTGCCAGGTTACCTGTGTCTGAGTGTTGCCAGGTTACCTGTGTCTGAGTGTTGCCAGGTTACCTGTGTCTGAATGTTGCCAGGTTACCTGTGTCTGAATGTTGCCAGGTTACCTGTGTCTGAGGTCACCTGTGTCTTAACGTTGCGTGGTTACGTGACCCTGATTTGAGTGTTGCCAGGTTACCTGTGTCTGAATGTTGCCAGGTTACCTGTGTCTGAATGTTGCCAGGTTACCTGTGTCTGAATGTTGCCTTGCCAGGTTACCTGTGTCTGAATGTTGCCAGGTTACCTGTGTCTGAATATCTGTAAAAAATAAATCAAGGGAACTGGATTTGCTGTATTTTTCTTGAAGACGTTTTGCTGGTCATCTGACTAGCTTTCTCTGTGGCTGGCCATGAGACCATTGTCTATATGTTGCCAGGTTACCAGTGTCTGAATGTTGCCAGGTTACCAGTGTCTGAATGTTGCCAGGTGACCGGTGTCTAAATGTTGTCAGGTGACCAGTGTCTGGATGTGACCAGGTCACCAGTGTCTGGATGTTGCCGGGTCACCAGTGTCTGGATGTTGACGGGTCTCCAGTGTCTGGATGTTGCCGGGTCACCAGTGTTGTTGCCGGGTCACCAGTGTCTGGGTGTTGCCGGGTCACCAGTGTCTGGGTGTTGCCGGGTCACCAGTGTCTGGGTGTTGCCGGGTCACCAGTGTCTGGGTGTTGCCGGGTCCCGTCTGGGTGTTGCCGGGTCACCAATGTCTGGATGTTGCCGGGTCATCAGTGTCTGGGTGTTGCCGGGTCACCAGTGTCTGGATGTTGCCGGGTCACCAATGTCTGAACCATACTTTGATATCAGTATTTTAATATTTCCAGTTACCAGTGATAACACGGCTCTGTGTTTCTGTTCTGCAGGTTTTCGGATCAATATGGCGCTCGTGCCGCCCTCACCCTCTCCTTCCTGTCCAGCTCCATCTATTACCTGATCCTGGCATTCACCACCAACATACCCTTACTGTTCCTGTCTCGCCTGCCGTCTGTCTTCATGCACGGCCTGCCAGGTACTGTATACAGCAGACTTACCGATCATTCACCATATACAGGTCACTCTAAGATAATAACTGACACTCAGGAACCTCATTTAAAGGAAAACTGCACTCGGTGACCATATTGTTTCTACTTCTATCTAGTAGCTGGTAGTTACTTAGTATTTGAGGTTGAATAAAGACGCAGGTCCATCAAGTTCAACCTTTGTGTGTCTAGCTCTGCTTGGCAGGGCTACATGTAGAAAACAATTACCCCGCCCGGCGCCTGGAGCTGCATGTCCTGTGCGTCGGGAGATAGGAGTTCCACACCCCTTTTGCCCCTCTACTCCCTGTTGCCTTGTGGGAAATCCGGCCCTGTCTCTGCTGATACCACTGCTTGTGGCAGAGAGTTCAAGACTTTAACCGCTCCAACTGAAAAGAATCCCCTACGCCCCTTGTGGTTAAATCTTTTCTCCACCAATTTTCGGTGGGGGCCTCTAGTCCTTGTTATGGAGTTTACTGCAAAAAGTTTGCCATCACCACTAGGAGGAGGAGGAGGTAGGAGCCGTCATTCTTCACAATATGGAATTAGTTGGGTGCTGAGATCTATTATGGATTGTTCTTCTGACCGCCTCAGCTCATACAAGTTACACCAATTGTGTCAACCTAAAGGAGAACTATGAGGCGGGTGATTTTCACTAAACCTCATAGTTCGAGCCGACGTGTGACAATGAGACTGTCACACGTCAGCTCAATAGATCGGGAAGTGAGCGAACGCATACCGTCACTCGCTCACTTCTCGATCATCTCCCTGCAGAGAGCCGGCCCGTGACTGTCACTCACGGCTCCCTGCAGGGATTCTCCCCTCCCCGCTCCGATCCTCCAGCGCTGACTGGAGGAACGGATGGGGGAGGGGGCGGGTACAGCTGGCTCTGCCTTTAGATAGGTAGAGCCAGCTGTCACTTACGCAGCTGGGAGGATCTCGACAGTATTGTCTGGATCAGTCCCGGCTGCGGCGGTCTCAGTATACCGCGAGCTGTAGCTCCCTATATACTGAGCTTTGGGTCATGGGGGGACGCTAGTTTGTGTTCTCCCGTGACTCTTAGGAGAGCTATGGGGAAAAGCCCTAACCCATAGTTCTCTTTTAATATTTTATTAACAATTAATCCTAGAATGTTCTATTGGAGGCAGCATGCTCTATTAACTGCCTGATCTCACACACTGTCCCCCCAGCCTCTGAGTGCGCATAACAGCAAAAGAAAAAAGAAAATCTAAAATAGCTCAGAACCGTCGTGGATATTTCTTTTTACTTTGAAACATTGTTGTTTAAAGTGTATCTAATGTAGCAAAACGTTTTCCTGTTTTAGATAGAGTTAGAGAAGTAAATCCCCGGCCAGTTTATTTTTTGCTGTCTGCATCCTGTTGGGAGAATTTTTCGCCACTTCCTGTCCAATAGAAGCAACAGGAAGTGAAAACAAAGAGTCTACAATGTCAAAGGAATTTTACTCTCAGACACCAGTTTCCACATTGGAAGATTTCACCTCTCGTTCTGGTGACAACTCTGGTGGTTGGAAACGCCAAGAATGACAGCAACATTTCCAGTTGCCTTCATTCTTGGTGTTTCCAGTCACCAGGACAAATAAAAGGGTGAATCTCCCTAGCGGGGACACAGACAGCAGTAAAAACATTCAGGGGTTCTATTCCTCCTCTACTTTATGCAAGAAAAGTTTTCCCTAGACATACCCATTTAGAACTGGTATGCATACTCTGAAGCTGGGATACAGCAGGTGAGGTCAGGCACCTAGGGGTGGGAGTACCAGGCGAATCTTTTAGCTTTTGGCACAGAATGAAGCAGCAAGAGAAATATTTGCTGGGGGTACATGAGTGGGATTAATGCACACCTATGCTTTTCCTCTTCAGGACAAAGCAACAGTTTTTCCTTAAAGGAGAACTATGAGGTGAGTGCTTTTCACTCACCTCATAGTTCTAGCCGACCTGTGACAATGAGACTGTCACAGGTCGGCTCAGTAGATCGGGAGGTGAGCGAACACATACCGGCGTTCACTCACCTCTCGATCCTGTCACGGCTCTCTGCCGTGACAGGGGAGGGGCTGGATTCCCTCCTCCCCGCTCCGATCCACCAGCACTGACTGGCGAAACGGACGGGGGGAGGGGGCGGGTACAGCTGGCTCTGCCTCTAGATAGGCAGAGCCAGCTGTCAGTCATGCAGCTGGGCGGATCCCGGCACAATTGTCGGGATCCGCTTCAGCTGCGGCTTCTAAGTATACCGCAAGAGAGCAGCTAGCGGTATACTGCGGCGTCTCAGTATACCGCGAGCTACAGCTCGCGGTATACTGAGCCTAGGGTGACAAGAGGACGCTAGTTTGTGTCCTCCCGTTACCCTAAGGAGAACTATGGGGAAAAGACTTAACCCCATAGTTCTCCTTTAATGACACTTATTTGCAAATACAAATACTTACTGCATTCCTCACTCCTGCATGGTCCTTCCTCTGCATGCGCCTGGTCCCCTTAAGCCTCTTTACTTCCCTGGCTGCTCAGAGCTCACTGACCTCACTATGTACAATGCAGGACTGGCAGTCCTGCATTGTATGGGAGGGCGGCCAGGGCTCGTCCACAACCCAGGGTGTAACAAAGCAGAGGAGGCTGCTGGCTGCCAGGGGGAGAGAGGAATAAGGTAAGTATATGTGCCTATTTTGCCCTTCCCCCTGCCAAACAAGCATCTAACCCAGGGGTAGCCAAAATGCGGCCCTCCAGCTGTGGGGAAACAACAAATACTATCATGCATCTGCCTCAGTAGGCCATGCCTGTGGCTGTCAGAGACTTGCAATGCCTAATGGGACTTGTAGTTTCATCACAGCTGGACGCCCGCAAATTGGCTACCCCCTGATTAACCCATGCAATGCAGGGAGGACCCCATTGCATGGGTGCATTTGAAAGCATCCTGTGGTTGGGCTTAAAGGAGAACTATGAGGCGAGTGCTTTTCACTCACTTCATAGTTCTAGCCGACCTGTGACAATGAGACTGTCACAGGTCGGCTCAGTAGATTGGGAGGTGAGCGAACACATACAGGCGTTCACTCACCTCTCGATCCTGTCACGGCTCTCTGCCGTGACAGGGGAGGAGCTGGATTCCCCCCTCCCTGCTCCGATCCGCCAGCGCTGACTGGCGGATCGGACGGGGGAGGGGGCGGGTACAGCTGGCTCTGCCTCTCGCGGTATACTGAGCCGAGGGTGACGGGAGGACGCTAGTTTGTGTCCTCCCGTTACCCTAAGGAGAACTATGGGGAAAAGCCTTAACCCCATAGTGTTCCTTTAAAATGACATGCAATATCAAAACCAGCCACTAGATAGAGACATTAGACACATGTTGAGCCTGCTTTGCTGAGTGTTCTGCTTTGTGTGTGTTTGCAGAGCTGGAGGATAATCACTTTTGTAAATATGACTCATAAAATAATAAGCACAGAGCAGCTTCCTGTGTGCACTTCCGATTGGAGTACATAGAGAACAATATATCCAGTTCTATAACAAAAAAAAAAGTAGGGTCAGCTCTACAAAGGACAAAGGGCGGTCACAGCTATATCGCTAATCATTTAAGAAGGGAGGTCAGCGTCCTGTCGATCTTCACCATGCGTCTCACCACCGAATATGATGCAGCTTTTATATTAAGGCTGAATTATAGCGGGATAAGCAAATATTATCTAAATACAAGAATCATGTGTATTCTCCTTGAATCTTGGTGAGCTTTGTGTATTTCTTCCAGATCTGTGCAGTAATCCAGTGTGACACTTGGAGCTTCCTGTAATAAAGACCGATCACAGCTGCTCTCTCTCCTTGTGCAGGGTGACTGGTCTTGTCTCAGCACCCTCCTGTAATAAAGACCGATCAATGCTGCTTTCTCTTCTTCTGCAGGGTGACTGGTCTTGTCTCCGCCCACTTCCGGAAATAAAGACTGGTCACTGCTGCTCTCTCTATCCTTGTGCAGGGTGACTGGTCTGGTCTCCGCCCCCTCCTGTGATAAAGACTGCTCACTGCTGCTCTCTCTCCTTGTGCAGGGTGACTGGTCTGGTCTCCGCCCCCTCTGGTAATAAAGACCGCTCACTTCAGCTCTCTCTCCTTGTGCAGGGTGACTGTTCTTGAACCTAGGAAGTTCCTTGTGGGTCTTAGATTCTTTCTCACGGGACACAGAACATTGGGTGTACCTCTTATTGGGGCGTCCCTACATGTACTAACAGGGCTCAAACGCAAGAAACATCTGACCTCCCATGAGGGACCTCTGACCCCACTGACAGATAACAAAGCATTCCCACCAGGTTCTACAGAGGAGTTTATACGCCAATGGCAACCCCAGGAATCGCTGAGAGCACACACTTTTTTCAAATTTTAATGGAAAAAAAAAAAAAAGAACATTGGGTGTAATTGTCATTAACAACTGAGGACCTGATCCGTGTACCAGAACCATGCCAGCAGTTCTTTCAGGATTGATCGCTGTAATAGGCAGCACAGAGTCAGGACTTGTTAAAGTGCATTATAAGAATGTAAACAATTCATGTGTCTGTTATTTGATACATAATGACAATGACATGTAAAGTAGATAAAATATGCCCCGGAGGGTCCAAAATCAACTCGTCCCAGACGGTCCCCTATGTGTGCAGGAAGGGACAGTAACCCACATTCACACATGAGCATTTTTAAGCAACTTTGAAGCATTTTTTGTGCATTTTTTGAGTGTTTTCTTTCACACATTATTTATAAAGTGTTTCCAAGCCTCGGGCAGTTTTATTTTTTGGCTCACGGAAAGTATTAAAAGCAGCATTACGTGACACTAAACTCGGAAGTAGATGTAGAGACTTTCATCCTCCTGATGAGGGCCCACAAGAACCACTATGACCCCGGTGATGCCCATTACAAGAACCAGGGCAAGCAGTAGAGGGCTTGGGAGGAAAATGGGCGTGAAGTTTTCCCGGATTGGGAGACACCTCAGGGAAAGACCGCAAAAGGTAAACTTCTATAGGTCTGTAGGACCCATTTCTTTAGGATCCATTTCCAGAGGCAAAAATGTAATAATTGCAGCTTTCCAGACCTTAAAGTGACACTAAGCTCCGGAGAGAAATCTTAAAAACACATTCTGGTACCTTAACCATTAAAGGAGAACTATGAGGTGAGTGCTTTTCCCTCACCTCATAGTTCTAGCCGACCTGTGACAATGCGACTGTCACAGGTCGGCTCAGTAGATCGGGAGGTGAGGGAACACATACCGGCATTCGCTCACTTCTCGATCCTGTCACGGCAGAGAGCCATGACAGGGCAGGGGCTGGATTCCCCCCTCCCCGCCAGCACTGACTGGCGGAACGGACGGGGCGGGTACAGCTGGCTCCGCCTTTAGATAGGCAGTAAAGATTCAAGATGGCTGCCCTTCTGTTCTCAGAAAAGGATGAGAGTTCCACAGATATAATGAGAATCCAGTACATCTTTATTGCACTCTACAGAAGGTTGCAAAGATAAAGCCAACGTGTTTCAGGGGATCAGTGCTCCCCCTTCATCAATGACAGTAAATAGGGAGAATACTGGATGACGGATTGTAAAGTAAAACTATAAAATGAAGCTCGTTCTAGTCTCCAGCCGGCATTTTATCATTTTACTTTATGATCCGTTGTCTCCAGTGCTCTCCCTATTTATTGCCAGCATCTAACCTCTGATGAAGGAGGAATATTAAGCCACTGAAACGCGTTGAATTCTCTCGCGACCTCCGTGTGCAATAATCATTTACTAAACTCACATTATATCTGTGGCACTCTTATACTTTTTACATTCTTATTCCAGGAACTTCAAAAAGATACCCCCACAGAGAGCTGCCCCTAACATTTGGATTACAAGTCTTCCTTCTTTTTTTTTCTTTTGTCCAGCGCTCTACCTATACATCTATCATCATTATTGGAATATGGTAAAGTTTTTGTCTTTTGCTGTTTACTAGGGGCTCAGATGATCGTCACTGACCTGACGACGGCCGAGGAACGAGCCGGCTCTCTGGGAAAACTTGGACTCTGCTTTGGAACAGGGATGATCATTGGGTCTTCACTGGGAGGATACTTGGCCACCAGATTTGGGTGAGATGGAGTTAAATGTTCACAAGTTTTTGTAATGCTAAATCCCTACTGTTATAAAAACAAATTAACTATAAACTCCCCCATCCATGTCTTTATGGACCTTGCTTTGTGCACTGGTGCGCAGTCATGTTGGAACACGAAGGGGCCATCCCCAAACTGTTCCCACAAAGCTGGCAGCATGAAATTGTACAAAATGCCTTGGTGTGCTGATGTCTTAAGAGTTCCCTTCACTGGAACTAAGGGGCCAAGCCCAACCCCTGAAAAACAACCCCACACCATAATCCCCCCTCCACCAAACTTTACACGGATGGACTTATTGCACAGGTGACAACCTATCACGGTACCACGCTCGAATTCTCTGAGCTCCTGAGAGCGGCCCATTCTATCACAAATGTTTGTAGAAGCGTCTGCATGCCGAGGTGCCTCATCCTATACACCTGTGACCATGGAGGTGATTGGAACACCTGAATCCAGTGATTTGGAGGGGTGTCCCAATACTTTTGGCAATAAAGTGTGTGTATATATATATAAGTCTTCCTGGATACAGTTTTTAGGTAGTTCTTTTGTATTACTGAGTCCACCTCTTAGTGTCTGTGTTTTCCTGCATGTTAGTGGGCAGGCAACTCAAGAAGAGAACATGACTTCTGTGTTCTTTAGCAGAAACACCTAAATAATTATGAGGTTATCTCTCACAAAGCAGATATAAATTATTATTTGTTCACCAGTGATTTTTATAGCATTGAAATGGCCATAATGGGGTCTATCCGGCTCGCAATCTGGTATCCAGAAGCTCAGGAAAAGTAAAAAAGTCAACTCCAATCAGAATGTATTTGTTAGTATTTCAGATTGATCTTTACTGTGAGATTACACGCAGTGCAATGTTAGTGTTGGAGATTCTGAGAGGACAGTAAATCAGTAGATTGTAGAATTGGGGGGGAGGACAGGGGCTTGATATTAGGGGTGCCAAAACATATGTAATGATTGCGGCGTGCACCACAGTAGCTCCAGTGGTTGTGGCCCTCCACAGCATATTGAAGCGTTTTCTCCAGCAGGAAAATTTGGAGTGACCAATACAACGACCTAAGGAATAAAGGGCCCTGGTTTTATCTTGGGGGCCCCTCCCAAAGGGGGGGGAGCAGATCTCACTCCCCCCCCCAAATCCCCCAGCGGTCTCTGCACCAGAGGAGCTTACGCTCTAATGTCCCCCCCACAGTCTTACACTATTATTATACATTTAGCTGCTTGCCCGGGGCTCAGTGTCTGATCTATAAACTGCCAGCTGGAGACTCCGAAATGACTCGTCTACCTGACGGTTTAAACTGGCTGCCGCATTTCGCCATGTTCTGTAACGAGCTTCTGCTGTGAAACATTAGCGATGTGACGGGAGAGGGAGATGACACAAGCCAGACATCAGTGTTATGACTTGTTACAGGAAACATTCGTCAAAACCACATTTACACACAGCCAACCACAATAACCAGCCGACCTCTCACCCATCCGTTCATATGAGCATCCAGGGAGGCAGGAGGGGCACCGATTAGAGATTATGACACTGCTTCCTTATACAGAAAAAATTAGAAAAACACTAAGGCTACCTAGAAACAGGAAGTCCAATCAAATTCAGCAGGCTTCTCACACTGTTTCTATATTAGGGCTGCAGCCTCTTGTCACTTGACTCTGCACATCCTTCTGTTCTGAGAACTAAAGAGAGGGGGAACTTAAACCAGGAAAAAACATAAGAACCCATTTATAAAGCAGTGTTATGGCCAGGCCCGGCCTCCGGGGGCAGCAGGGAGTAGAGGGGCGGCAGGGGTGTGGAATTCCAGGGCGCCGGGTGGGCAGTTCCAGGGCGGGTAGTTGTTTTCTACATTTAGCCCTGGTTAGGGCAAGCAGAGCTAAATGTACAGCGGGGAAGCCGCCACTTGTTTTGTGCAAGTGATCTTGGTAATTTCACCGTGGGGGGAGGGTTTAGCGGGTAGTGGCATTTAAATGCATGAGAAACCTGTTGTGGCATTTAAATACATGAGTGAGAAAAAAAAGCCGGGAGGAGGAGAGCCCCCCGGTCATGTCACCTGTTCACACACTACAAAGTCACCCCGTGCATCCCCAGCTGTCATCCCCGAATCATGAGACATGTCATGAGACATGGAAGCTGTCATTTCTCACCTCTGCTTCTCATAATAGTTGCCTGGCTGTCATGCTGATCCTCTCCCATCACCCATCCACACTGCTTGCAATACTCACCTCCTCTCCCTTCCACAGTAATATCTTTTTGCCACAAGAGGTCCCAGCCTAGGGTCGCCTAACCCAGAAGACTGAGGACATACTGTGAATGCAGGAGGGCATCATGGGGGGGGCATAAAAGCATCACTGACCTCATCATGAACATAAAATGTTAATCAATATTGTAACCGTTCTTCTTTTCCTGCCTCCCACCTTGGCAATAACCCATATATTGAATGTTATGTAAATGTCATTATGTAACAATGTGTACATATTAAAGAGAACCTTCCACTTGTGAGCCAAAAACTAAAACACATTGTCCCGACTACTTCCCTGCATGATATGAAAAACAACACATACCTACCAATCCCCCTATGCAAGGTCCTGTTCGTGGTGCTATCCTCCTGTGCCGCCATATTGAATCTTGCACCAATGGGAGCCGGCTACCTCTTCCTGTCTCCCTGCTCTCTCACCAGGTGATCTCTGCTGCATCCCTCTCCACAGCATCCCCTTAGGGGGTGTCTTGAATCCTGCATCTGCCCAGACAACATATCCAACTATCATCTATACAGACTCCAAAATATCACAATATTTCTGCTCCCATTGAACTACAACCTCCTGGCACATGTGCCATGGCTATCCCCAGGTCATGTGACCGGGCAAGTGCATTGAGCCTGCATTGATCAATGCAGACTCAATGCATCTGCCCTGTCACAGCACATGCACAATATGTTACAGGGGCATAACTACAATTCATGGTGCCCCATAGCAAAATTGATGGTACCCCCCCCCCTCAGCAACCTCTCTCTGTGACACCTGGCAGTCTCAATTGAGACAACAGTGTAATTGATCCTGACATAAAGTATAGTTCAATCAAGGACAGCAGCTCTCCCACCCCATTCACCACCCCAGCCAACCAGCACTGAACATTGGGGTTTAGTAGTCTGTAAGGAAGAGAGAATTGAATCAGCACTTCTGGAATGGTGACATCAGACAATCTCCTTCGTGGGGCCCCCTTCCGACCCTTAAGCCCCATAGCAGCCGCATGGGCTGCTACGGCTATAGTTACGCCACTGGTATGTTCTCTCTGTGCCCTGTTCGCACCATACATGTGCGCTGGTGTGCGTTACGTAACAATGTAGCACATGTCACTGCAAGTCTTAAAATGGAATGATGTGGGGTTTCTGTTTTTTTGTAATTTTAAATACATAAAAAAAGAAAATGATGATACTTTGTAGCAATGCATTGCATCGCCCCTATGGAGCATAATGTGTGCAGGTTGGTGGGAACCTACATAGTCACATGGTTACATAGTCACATGGTTACATAGTCACATAGTTACATAGTCACATGGTTACATAGTCACATAGTTACATAGTCACATGGTTACATAGTCACATAGTTACATAGTCACATGGTTACATAGTCACATAGTTACATAGTTAATTTAAAAAGACACAAGTCCATGGAGCTCAAGCAACCGAAAAAACAAAAAATGGTGTAAAAAGAAGACGGGAGGAGGAGCATTAGGGGACGTCCATTTACTGTTGGCAGGTCTCCTTTGATATGATTGCATTACTCACATATACTGCGGATGTGAAATTCTCAGACAGAAACTTTTATTACCATGGAGACGGGCACCATGACACCCATGTGACACGACCGCGGTCCCTCTCGCTGGCTCACCTCTGCCAATGAATCAGAGGGGAAGTTTTGTCTTCACATCTCTTTATCTTACCTTTTCCTCCTGGTGATACTGTATCTGTTTACTGGGCTCGCCTGGAGACAAACATTGCACACATTTCTGGCATATTTCAGAGGAAGGAAACCGCTCGGTATTTTTGAGATTTCTTCTACTCGATAAAATCAAACCGATTTCTCTCGTGTAGAATGTTACCTATAACCTTAAAGCTGAGCTCCGGCCATGAAACTTTCATTTAAATATATTCCTCAGATTTCACCAAGGATGTAAATCCACTTTGTGTGCACCACATGCCTTTGCAAACCCAGATGATATCTTATAAGAGTAGCCCTGCTGCAAGGGTTAACTTTTTGCATACCCGGTGTTCTTCTTTAAATAAAGAGATAAACAAAGATCCTTCGGTAGATAAGTCCCTGTGGGCCAGTCTTCAGTACATAATACAGAATAGCGCAGTGTGGGTAGACAGGCAGTGTTACATTCTTCTTCAATGACATAAGCCGATATGCTTTCTGTCCGAGGAGCAAGAAAATGCAAGCTTGTGGGCCTCTGAATAATAACTTCTCTCATGGCCACTTGTGAATTAAAACACCATCGACAATGCGGGTCTGTTGACTCTAAATAAAGTATCAAAACAATATGCAGCCTGCAAAAGCCTGGCCGCCTGTCGCCTATGTGATAGGACAGATCCAACAAAAGGGGTGAATAGGGGTCTGAAATACACAATATGGCCAAAGGTGTGAGTACACCCCGCCAAATTATTGGGTTCAGGTGCATCTGCTGAAGGATACTCTAAGGGCTCATTCACACCAGGGGTGCTGAGTGGCATTGTTCAATGCAGGCTCAGCACAAGAACATATAGAAAACAATTGCTGTCTCTGTGTCCCGTTCACACTACACATGTTACATGTTACACGTTACGTAAAAATGCAACATGCCAAAGAGATCTTAGACAATTGTGGTCTTTCACCCTTGTGGGAACAGTTTGGTGATGGCCCTTCTTTTTTTCCAGCATGACTGTCCCCTGTGTACAAAACCAGCTCCATAAAGACCTGGTTTGGTCAGTTTGGTGTGGAGG